GAGAGTAACATGATCAGATTTCATTTCAGATAAATGACTCTGAAGTTATGATACATCAACTTGGAGGATGGGTTAAGTCTGGAGAAGTGACAGATTAACAATGGCAGAACTGCAACCACAGTAGCAGAGGCAGAAATCCCTTCAGGAACTTTTTCTAATCAGATGTATCATAGGCAACTTAATCTCAACATGTCTAAAACAGAACTCACCACCCCTCCTAAACTGATCCTTTACCACTCTTCTGTCTCGGGAAATGGCTAACTATTCACCAAGTAGTTCAAGCCAGAAACTGGAGAGCATCCTTGATTTTGTTATATTCCCCATCTCCTGTATCCATTTCAATACTATACCCTGTGGCTTCTAATTCTCAGGAATCTCCCAGACCCATTCACTGTTTCCCACTTGTTCCCACTATGTCCTACTTCATCATAATTTTTGCTTTGGACTAGTGGAATAACCTCCTAACTGATGTTGCACATCCACTCCTGACCCCCGAAATTTATTCTCTGTATTGCTCCAAAAGTAATCCTTGGAATACGCCGTAGATCATGTCCCCATCTTGCTCAAAGCCCCTCAGTGGATTCCAATTATTACTAGGATAAAGTCTACCACTCTAAACTTGCCCTACAAGATTGTGTTTATCCAACTCCTGCCTAAAGATAGTAAGAGTTCCTAATATTACTGAGCATTTCTTATGTGCTATGGCACTGTGCTATGTTTTGGAAGCACTGTTTCATTTTATTCTCTTTGTGAGCATCATCTTAATTTTGCAGATGAGGAAACTGAGTCAAGGACAAATTATGCAATTTATTCAACATTGCAGAGCTAATAAAGTATTGGAGCCAGATCTGACAGAGAATATGCTTACGTTTTCATTCTCCCTTCAAAAACATGCTCCAAACACATTGTGTTACTTTCCGTTCCTAGAACTCATCTGCTCTCTCTTGCCATGAGGTCGTTCTTCACACAACTGTTCCCTATGTGTGGAATGTCCCCCTCACAAATATCATTCTTGCCTGGATTATATCTATTCATCTGTCAAATCTCTGCTTAAGTATCATCTCTTCTCGAAGTCGTCCCTTACTATCTGAAATTACATTATTTGTTTATTTCTTTATGGTCTGTCTCTCCAGTAAAATATCAAAACTGTTCACCACTGGTTCTTAGTTCTTAGAATGGCATTCACTAGGGGTTCAATAAACATCTGTTGTATGAAGGCATGCATGAATGATTGGGGATGGAAACTCCCTAATCTGGTGACTTTATTCAGGCTGATAAGAAATAAAAAGAAGCCAAATATAAATTTGTTCATCCATTGGATATTTAATAGCTTCCAGGTCCCAGCCAATACTCTTGAGAACTTAACGGCCCTCCTGAGGGGACAGACATAAACATGTGACGACAGCACAATATAAGTAGAGTGCCTGTTACAACAGTAGCAAGAATTAAGTGCAGTAGATGCAGAGATGCAAGAAGAGTATAAATCTATGGAAAACCTTCAGAGTGGAGGAGACTCTTTAATTTTTTTCCAGGATGAATGAATCCTAAAATATATATCACAAAGTCCAGGTCTTTCACTTATGAAAAAGGAGAGAAGCATTCATTTTATACAGGGGCACTTTATATCTTTAATTCTCACAACAGCTCTATGTTATTATTCCCATTTCATAGATGTCGGAATCCAAACTCAGAGAGATCAAGTAACTTAACTTGTCCAAGGTTATGAGGTATGTTAATAAAGGAGGAGAATTTGAGCCCAGGTCTGACTCCAGTATCCATTTACTTACCAATATATCACAGTCCTTTGACCCTGCATTTCCCCAGAGCCTAATTACTTGTTTTCAATACAATTCTTAACTAAATTGGTTATCTGCTTTCCCATTTGAATATAAATAAGCAGCAAAATTAAAGATTCAGGAAGAGAATGAAGTGAAGTATACTGACAGTAAGAGGAGAAACAGAAAAACTATTAAAAACTGAACACAAAAATTCCAAAAATATGGACCATGTAGTCCCATACACTCCATCCTCAGCTAAACAATAGTACTTGATGTGCATAATGATGATCCCATTGTAGAAAAAAATGGTTGCTCTAGACACTACAGCCTAAGAAAGAAATAACTTTCAAGGCTTTAAAGGGTAAACTTCAGGTATCTAGAAAATTCCTCTCTGATAACTCTGGATAAATGAATTGTAACAACTGTTCCCAAACTGTTTGTGAGAAGAAATATCCCAAGATCTTGAAAAGAGTCTTCATTTTATGGACATGATTATTTTTCTGTTGCTTTAAACTAACCAAAATAGAAAAACTATTAATCTTAGCTTACATATTCGTGTGTGTGTATGCAAGTAAACTATAAGTTTTAAGAATTTCTCATAAATGACTTTGAACAACACATGGATTGAGTAATTTAGACTGACCAGCATAGTGTTACTGACCATTCTTAGTATCTAAAAACTACCTTTCTCTAAACAAGTCCAAACAAAACCCTTCTAATAAATCTTCCAATAAAACAGGAGAAATTGATCACATACAAAACAGGAGGAAAACTAATATTTTTCATCTGTTACACGGAAACTTAAGTAGGTACGTACGTGAAAAAGAAAAAAATCAAACAATTGAGGCAAACACAGAGAAAACTAATTGAATAATTTACCATGAATGTTTCTACCATGAATGTTTCTACCATTCACTCAACCTGGATTCAACTTTTTAATCTGAAGATGTTAGCTTCTTTATAATAGAGGCTTTTATTATTTTATGTAATTCATTTTTTAAAAAGGTTTTTGGAGAACAGACCCTGATTTTTTGTTTTGCTTCAAAGAACATGAGAAAATTGTTCACCAATTATCCTGAACAAGTGAAGACACATTTAATATCCTTTATCATTTGAGAGGCTTTTAAATGAAGAAACTTTCCACACAGAATATTGTTTGTAACAATGTGAAAAGTATACTGGCTATACTTCCTAACAATATGTAAAAATGAATCTAAGGAAAAGCAAGTCTTTACTTGCAATTAACTGTAACTTTCTTGTATTTTTCTGGGAGGGATACAGTTTCTGCTCAAACTCTCTAGAAGGACAATTCTTGTTTACTTATATTTGAAAACTGCTTTTCTTTTAGTTCCACTTGTACAGTTTTGGCTCCAGATTCAACGTCTTCCAAGCCACTCTAAATTTAAGCTGTAGAATGAATTTGTAATGGGTTCACAAAACCACCTAGCAGCAAATACAACGTGAATAACTGCAGGTAAAACTGCACTGTACTACATGGAGATGGACGGTTGTAATTACAATGTTTTCTTACCTGGACGCTCTTCAAAATAAATTCAGTTTTCTCTCTTACATCTTTAAAGGGACATCTCTTAGAAAGCATCAGCAGATGAGCAAGAAGTTTATTCAACCCATCCAAAGAAACAGCATTTGAAAGCCCGTCTGATGGACGAAGAGGTGTCTCTTTCACCGAACGAAGATACTCGGTTTTTCTCAAAATGGTTTGCTTAATGTTTTCCAGTGCTGTCTCTCTAGTAGTTGAATCTCTACTGCACAGTCCATCCCATCGCACTTCATTCTCCCCTTCAGCCATGACAACTGGAGATTTTTTTTCTTTGCCGTCTTCAGTTACCCTTCAGCATGTCCCCGAAAGCACTTTGTATTTTTAAAACGAGAAATGTAAGCATAAAATCAGAGAAATCGAATCGTCATGAAAACACAAATGTCTGGGAGACATCTGGAACCAGAAGTGTCTTTTCTATTTATTGCTTTCAACCAATCTGCGAGACAGAACTCACCCTCTCCTACATGAAGGGGCAGTCTTCTTGTCAGAGACTAAAAAAAGTTGGAAAGTTGAAACCCTACAGCGCTGGCTCTGCTGGACAGGCAGTCCCGGGGAAGTGCTCTCCTCCGTCTCGCGGGGTCAGCGGATGTCCTCACGTCGTGGAGCTGTCAAATCCGTGCTCTGCCCAAAAAGGCTGGTAACAGTTGAAGGCGCTCCAGCCATTCGGGGTTTTTTGTCTGGGCAGCCACCGGGTTCTCAGGAGCATTCCCACCCCGCCCCTCCTCCGGCACCAGTCCCCGCCCCCTGCAGCTCCTCCCTACCCCTCAGCTGTGGCCGGGAGCTGGTGGGGAAATCTCGCCAAACCCTTGCTCACTGGCTGCCGCGGCCAGAGACCCAGTCGCTCGTTCGTGGCGACCGCCTCTGGCAGCCGCTGTGCCGGCTGCAGCGTTGGAGGAAAGTGTCTCCTGCCCCAAGATTCCGGATCCCGGAGAAGACGCCTTTTCTTTTCCTATACCTGCGTCCTCGCCCACCGCCCACTAAACCTGACGGGCACAGGGCTGGGCCGCAATCCCCAAAAGCGGGGCCGGGCCGCGAAGCTGGCGGAGAAGCCAAGCGGGAGGTGCAGAGCCCGCCCCTTCGCCCAGCCCCATCGGTGGGGCTCGGCCCAGAGGGCGGGAGCAGGGAGGGGAGATGGGGTCCTCACCCCAGCCCCTCCCCTTTCTCCGCCCGGCATAACCCAGGAGCCGCCCCTGCCCCAGCGCCCTCTTCCCCGCCCAAGCAGACGCGACCCGCGGAGGCAAAGCCATTGGAAAAAGCCCCGCCCTCCAGCCGGCTACCTCCAGACCCCAAGTCCGCAAGCGGCCGCCAACTGCTGCCGGCTGCTGCGCATGCGTGATGCGAGCAGGGAGCATGCGCCTAAGGGGCATTTTTGCGTCGGTGACGTTTTTCGTCCTCTGACGTTGGGATTCTCCCGGCTGGAGAAGGGGGAGAGAAAAGTAAGGAGTTGAAGTACACTGAAACCATTACAGACAAGACAAGCACGGCAAAGAAAGAGGGCGTAAACACACATCTGGAAGAAATGGAATCGAAATTTAAAATTAGCCTGAAAATAGTGACAGTCTCATTATTACGCCAAATCGGAGATTTAAGAAGGCAGGGCGTCCTCGCATTGACTTCTGGGAAATGTAGTTTTGATGTACCGACGCGTTCTGTCGGCGATAGAAACTACAGTCCCCAGGAGCCACTGCGACGTCGCCTGTAGCGGCCTTCAAGCCAACGGTTAGCGCGGATGGAGGTTGAGAGCGTCGATTTGGTGAGCACTGTAGGTTAGCTGCCAATTTTTCTTTGACAGGATTTTTTCCTTCTCCCATTTCCTCAGGTATTTTGGAGACCAAGCTATCTAGAGCTGTCCTCCTTAGTCCAGGGGTAGTGTCCAGTAATCTGCCTGGGAAGGAATAGTACGGGTGCCCAAGGCCGAGGGCATATGAAGGCGCGAGGAATGATCGCGACCCCAAGCCGCTTAGAGAGCAGCAAAAGGCCGGGCAAGAGGGATGCTGTAGGAACCGGTGCGTCTTGCTGCGGCTTCCGCTTAGCCCTTTGAGGTGGACTCGCTCTCGAGGGCTTAGGTATCCCTGTGCATTGCACTTTTTTTAGCCATTTCATAGGGGTGTTCTGTGTTTTATGCGCTCAGTAGAATGAAATCCCAGGCAGGGCTTTGAAAGCGAGTTTTCAAATCCATTTTGTATGAGACTAAGGGGAAGAGAACCCCCAGTATTCCTAGATAATGAATGTTTGCAGGGATACTGCATGAAAAAAGACCTATAAAAATTTCCAAAACTTAGTACATTTAGAAGATTCGTTTGTTTAAAAACCACTGTTTGGTTTTGAAAAGTCATTCCTCTTGAGAAAAGTCAAGGTAGTCAATGGACTGAGCACCAAATTAGATTTGAATTCTTCACATTGCGGAATAGATGTATTTCTAAAAATTGAGCCCTGGGGCGCTTGGGTGGCTCAGTCCAAAGAGCGAGCAACTTTTGATCCCCGGGGGGTGAGTTCCAGCCCCATGCTGGATATAGAAATTACTTAAATAAAAACTTTTTAAAAATTAAAAAATGAAAAAGATAAAAATTTAGCCCTGTGAGGTACTGAGTATACAACAGTGGAAAAGACAGTCCCTATCTAGTTACATAATCTAATGGTTAAATGCACAGTTTTAGTACAATATGATATCTGGCTATCTGGAATGGCTAGAAAGATCACTAGGTTAATCCTGGAAAGCCAGGGAAATCTTCATCCCAGAGAAAGAGGGCTAAAGCGACAGCATAGGGTGAGGGCTAGAAGTGAGAGAGGTATGAAACTTTCAGGAAACCAAAATAAGCCAAATCACCCATATTTTGGGAGGGATGACTTTTTATCTACTGATGTATTCTGTAGCTGTGAGGAGACAAGTACTGTGAATTTTCCAGATAGTTTCTGAAAGTGACCTGTCCTTGAACAGATAAGTTTCAATGAATTGGTGTAATTTGGAAAGCCTTGGGTATGGTTTATATTCTATGCTACTGGTTTAAATTCTGCTACTGATTTAAATCAGAATTTTTTTTAAATGTGAACTTCTTATGAATATGACTTCAAAAAATAAAAACGGCATTCTTTTTTTTTTTGTCTTTTTTTGGGCTCGTCCTCCTTTGGCCAATGCACAAAGAGTAGGGTAGTTTCTCAAATCTCGGTCCCCTTATCACATAATTGAATATGATCCCTTCCATATCCATGGTTTCACTACCACCTATGACTTTTAAATGTATAGCTCTATCCTCCTTTACATTTCCAGTTTTCGTATACCCATTTCCTTGATATTTCTTGTTTGATACCTCAGAAGCCTTCAAGTTCAACATGCCTAAAAACAAATGGATGGTTATCTTTAACGAGTCTGATTCTTTTTCAGTGTTTCCTATTTCAGTTAATGATCCTACCATCCATTTGTGAAAATTTGAAAACTACACATTATTAATTTCTTCCTGTCCTTCATGCCTCTATAGCCAATTATTACCAAGTCCTTTCAATCTCATCTCCCAAATATCCTCCAAATCCATCCTTTTCCCACCGTCTGCACAAGCACAGTCTTTTCCAAACTGCCATAATGTGTTGCCTAGATCGTTGCAATAGGGATAGTTCACTCTGGCCTTTCTCCATTGGTTCTGCACACTGGAGTCACAATGATCTTTTTGAAATGCAAATTTGACTAGACTTTTCCCTTAACATCATTGATTGCTATCTCACTATTCTTAGGCAAAACTTCTTTGTAAAGCATAGTATCATTTTGTCCCTTTCCACCTCTCCAGCCTCACCTAGTATTATACCTACTACTCTACATCTATCTCTGCTTCAGCCATACAGATCTTTCTTCGGTCACTGGTTCTCATATTCCCTTCATCCATTTATACACTCAACAAACATCTTTTAAGTATCTGCTATGTAATGGGAAAATCACACATCATTGAGCACAATATACATTCACACTTGAACAACATGGGTTTGAACAGCAGAGGTCCACTTACATGTTCTTTTTTTTTTTTTTATAAATACAGTACAGTAGTGTAAATCTATTTTTCTTATGGCATTCATAATAGCATTTTCTGTAGCTTACCTTATTTTAAGTATACAGTATATAGTACAAATACAGAATATGTGTTAAATCAATCATGTGTATTATCCATAAGGCTTCTGGTCAACAGTAGGCTTTTAGTAGTTAAGTTTAGCGGAGGCATCAAAAGTTACTTGGATTAAAAATTGTGGGGTTTTTTACTTCCTGGTGGGAGTTGGCATTCCTAACCCCCACAGTGTTCAAAGGTCAACTGTTCAAAAGTCTCTACTCTCATAAGAGCTTGCATCTATTAAGGGGAGATCAACAATAAGTATGTAATATATGTGGTAAATGAAGGCAAATGTGGTAGAGAGAAAAAAAGAGCCAACCAGGAAGGGTACTAGGAAGTGCCAGATTGGGGGGGGCAAGGTTCACTCTTAAATAAGGTGGTCAGAGAAGGAGACATTTGAAGGGATCTGAAGTAGGAGGAGGAATAAGCTGTGCAGATACTTGGAGGAGGAACATTCCTGTGAAGAGAACAGCTCTTACGAAGGCCAGTGGGCAGGAGCAAAGAAATAGCAATGTGGCTCAAGCACAGTGAGTACAAGGGAGGAGAATAACAGGAGGACAGAGAAAGGTCGTCACATAGGTGATTGAAAGGACTTTGACCTTTTAATTGAAGGAGGAAGCCATTGGAGGGCTTCGAGCAGATCAGTTGCATTTGCGCATTTTAAAATGATTACTTCTTTGAAATTGTGTTGAGCATAGACCAGGGGGAAGCAAGTGTAGGAGCAGAGACACAAATAAGGAAGCTAAAGTAATACTCCAGGTTAGAGATGATAGTGGTAGCTTGGACCAGGCTGCTAACAGTGGAGGCAGCGGGAAGAGGCCCACAGTCTGGATCTATTAGCCAACAAGTTTTACTGATAGATTGGGTATGAGGTATAAGAGTATAGGAGTCAGGGTGCCTGGGTTGCTCAGTTGGTTGAGCGACTGCCTTCGGCTCAGGTCATGATCCCTGAGTTCCGGGATCGAGTCCCGCATTGGGCTCCCAGCTCCTTGGGGAGTCTGCTTCTCCCTCTGGCCTTCTCCTCTCTCATGCTCTCTCTCACTCATTCTCTCTCAAATAAATAAATAAAATCTTTTTTAAAAAATTAAAAAAAAGAGTATAGGAGTCAAAGATGACTCCAAAGTTTTTAGACTGAACAACAGGAAGTAAGGAATTTAATATTGTGGGAAAGTCTCCAGATTTGTGTATGGAGGTAAGGAGGTGGAAATCAAGAGTTTTGTTTGGCCATGTAAAGTTTGAGATGTCTCTAAGATATTCAAGTAGAAGTGTGGAATTGGCAAGTTGGGTAAGTGTGTATAGAGATGAGCTGAAAGACCTGGCTGTGGATAGAATAATTGGATTTCATAGTAGTGCTTTAATAGCAGTTAAAGCCTGAGAATAATTGGTATCATAAAAGGAGGCACTCCTTAGAGTTTGGTTGATCTGGGGTCATCTGCGAAGGGGACCATGCAGGAGCAGCCGGTGAATGTAGAGGAAAACCCACAGAGTGTGGTATCCTAAAAACCAAGTGAAAGTGGTTAAAGAGGAAGGAGTTCTCAGTACATGAAGTGCTGCTCTGGACCAAGTGAGGTAAGAATTGATAACTGACCACTGTATTTAGTAATATGGAGGTCATTGAGGATCTTGAAAGCAGTTTTGGTATACTTGGTATACTTTGGTATACTTTTTGGTATAAAAGTCAGATGGTCATTTTATTTAAGAGAGAATGGGAGAAAAACTGGAGACAGTGAGTACAGATGTAGTACCTTTGTATTGTTTTCTTTGTCCAGACTTTTTTAGCCTGTCTTTGACTCTCCTTCCTATAGATCTTAGCTCAAATACCACTTTTTTAGTTTCCCTGATCTGATTAAATGTCACTATTAAAAATATACTCTTATTTTACCATGTCTCTATTTGTTAATGAGCTACACATGTAGTTTTATAAGAGTCTGTGATAATGTTATGAAAGTGTGCCTGCTTCTTTTTAAAAATTTATTTATTACTTGAGAGAGAGAGCGTGCAGGGGTGTAGGGGAAGGGCAAAGGTGGGTAGAGGGGAGAGGGAGAGAATGAATCCCAAGCAGACTCCATACCCAGTGTGGAGCCCAGCATGGGGCTTGATCTCATGACCCTGATGAGATCATGACCTGCACCAAAATCAAGAGTCAGATGCTTGACAGACTGAGCCATCCACGTGCCCCAGTGTGTGTTTGCTTCTAAAGTTTAAGCACAGAAGAGTAGCAGCTGTGCTGATTTTTGCGCATCCTCTGCAGCTCTGAGTACAGTGCTTGGCATCTAGTATGAATTTAGTACATATTTGATGGGTAAATGGAAGAAAAATACAATGTCACAGAACTTTCAAAGGTATTGTATATTTACATATAGTTAACAAAAACAAGACAATTGGTAGCAGGTACTTTATTATAGTGAAAACACTTTAGAAAATTTGCCTCTTTTTTAAAAAAGATTTTGTTTATATATTTAAGAGGGAGAGTGCGTGTGTGCACAGGTCCTGGGAGAGGGGCAGACTCCCCATCGCAGAACAGGGAGCCTGAGACACAGAGGCTTAACGGACTGAGCTACCCAGGTGCCCCAGGGAGTTGCTGCCTTAAATGAAGAGTGCTTTAATCAAGGAAAAAGTTGACTGGCTATAATGTATAGTTCAGGGAAATATAATTAATACA